GATCCTTTGCTTCTGCGCGGTCATTCGAACAAGTGCTGCTTCTCGTTTTTCATCTACCTTTGGGGTATGACACAAAGGCGGGCTCGATAGATATCGCTTTCTTGCTGACATTCCGGGGTCCACGCGAAGTCCTTTTTCTTTTTGAGCAAGGAGAAGAACCGGTAACTCCGATCCGACGACCTCGAAATGAATCGACCCAAAGCAGCTATTCGCCCTGTTAGCCTTTGCGCGGCCTTCACACTATCCACTATCGTGCTATCTTTGATAGCCTTGATCTTATCGATATTGATTTCGATACCCCGATTTGACACCATGAAGCCGAAGGACTTACCCGAGCCAACTCCGAAGGCACATTTCTCCGGGTTAAGCTTCATGTTGTATTGCCTTAGAATTTTGAATGTTTCCTGCAAATGAAATAAATGGCCCTCTGCACGCAAGGACTTAACCAACATATCATCGACATAGGCTTCCATTGTTTTACCGATTTGTTCTTCGAACATTTTGTTAACTAGGCGTTGGTACTTAGCTCCTGCATTTTTAAGCCCGAAGGGCATTATGTTGTATCAATAAGTTCCAAATTTAGTAATAAATGAAGCATTTTCCTGGTTCTCCAGGTTCATCTGAATTTGTTTGTACCCGGAATAGGCGTCGAGAAAAGTTAGGATCTCGTGGCCGGCCGTGGCATCGATCATACGACCGATGTTTGGCAATGGAAAAGAATCCTTCGAACATGGCTTATTCAAGTCCTTATAGTCTACACACATTCTAAGCTTGTTTCCTTTTTTTGAAACTACAACTACGTTGGCTAACCACTCGGGGTATTTTACCTCCTGAATGGATCCTATTTTAGGAAGTTTGGTTACCTCATCTTTTATGTAGGCATGTTTTACCTCGGACTGAGGCCTCCTTTTTTGCTTCACCGGTTTGAACCTGGATCGGTGCTTAGCCGATGCATGGTGGAATCCCTGTCATATCTAAATGGGACCAAGCAAAGCAATCCATATTATCAATAAGAAACTGAATGAGTTTTTTCCTGAGTTCGGGGGTCAACCCCGTTCCCAGGTATACCTTTCTCTCGGGCAGTTGACTTGGTTGCATCGGACTCTTCGGGAACGGCAAAGGTTCGAGGAGTAAGGAAGTCCTCTTCTTCGCCTTCGATTACCTATTGTTCCGACTCCGTCGAGGCTGGGGGCTGTGATTGCTTATTTAGCCGTCTGCTTACCCTTGGAGCTCGGTTTCTCCGAGGTCAAGGACTCTGGTATCGGCACCACTTCCTCGATCACAAACATCTCTTTTGCAGCATGTTGCTCTCTGTAGACTGTTTTTACTCCTTCCTCCGTCGGGAACTTCATCATCTGGTGAAGAGCTGAAGGCACTGCCCTCATTTTGTGTATCCATGGTCTCCCGAGGAGTGCATTGTACCTCATGTCACATTCGATGACATGGAACTTGGTGTCTTGTATGGTCCCGACAACGTTTACTGGCAAGATAATCTCTCCTTTTGTTATTTCGCTTGCCATGTTGAAGCCATTGAGGACCCGGGATGTAGGTACAATCTGATCTTGTAGGCCGAGTTGCTCCACGACCCTCGATCTGATTATGTTCGCTGAGCTACCTGGATCCACTAAAACACGTTTAACTTGAATTTTATTTAAAAAGATAGAGATTACCAGGGCATCATTGTGGGGCTGAGATAGCTCCGAGTCCGTTTCTCTCTCGTGATCAACACCTTGGTGCATTTGAACACAGGTCGTTGAGGGACATCGACTCCTCCAATGATCATGTGGATTACATGTTGTGGTTCTTCTTGCTCATTTCTCCTTGCATCCCTCTCCTTGAAGTGATTCTTAGCCCGATCACTTAGAAATTCTCGAAGGTGGCCCTCGTTGAACAACCGAGCCACTTCTTCCCTTAGCTGCCTGGAATCTTCTGTTCTATGACCATGTGTGCCGTGATACTTGCACACCATGTTCGGGTTTCTTTGAGAGGGATTAGTCTGAATAGGCCTGGGCCACTTGGTGTCTTTGATTCTTCCAATAGCTGACACAATCCCTGATGCATCTACGCTGAAGTTGTACTCCGATAATCGAGGTGCCTCTGCGGGATCGGTATGCTTATTGAATCCGCTTTTACTCATGAGTCTCCGAGAGCTTTGACCTGGATTGTCTCTCCGATAGTTCCGAGGAGCGTTCCGACCTGGACCGTTGTTTCTTCGATCGACATATGGTTGATACCGTTCCTTGTTTGATCTCGATTCCCTATTTGTATCCCGCGGGGATTTGGCCGTGAACCTGTTAGGATGAACCAAACCCGAGGGGGCTCCTAATTGATCATCCTCGACCCTGATTTTTGATTGATAACGGTTGTGCACATCTGACCATGTCACAGCTGGATACTCGATCAAGTTCTGCTTTAATGGTCGAGACGCTATCGAGCTCCTTTCATTCAAGCACTGTACAAAAACTTGTACTGCCTATTCATCGGAGATTGGTGGTAATTCCATTCTTTCCATCTAAACCTGGACACGAACTCCCTCAACATCTCGTCGTCCCTTTGTTTTAGCTTGAAGACGTCTGATTTCCTCGTGGCCACCTTTATGGCTCCGGTATGTGCTTTCACGAAGGCGTCTGCTAACATAGCAAACAAGTCAATAGGGTTAGGAGGTAGGTTGTGATACCAGATCATGGCTCCTTTCGACAATGTTTCTCCGAATTTTTTCAACAAGACTGATTCAATCTCGGCGTCATTCAAGTCATTTCCTTTGATCCCGCAAGTGTATGAAGTAATATGCTCGTTAGGGTCGGTTGTCCCATTATATTTGGGTATATCAGTCATGCGAAACTTTTTAGGAATAGGCATCGGAGCGCACTTTGGGGGAACGGTTTTTGTATGAACCTTTTGGCATCCAATCCTTTCAAAACTGGAGGTGCCCCCGGTATCTGATCTACACGGGAGTTATAAGTCTCCACCTTCTTATCGTTATCTTCAATTTTCTTTTCTCCTGACTCGATCCTCTTAGTGAGCTCTACAAGCATTTTCATAATGGTGGGGTCAGTCCCCGAGTCATTTCCATTTGGCCTTTCCGGCGTTGGCTCAGCACGTCGATTAATTTCATGTTTAGCTACACTCGGGGTCTTATTTTGGCTTTGAAGTTGAGCAATGGCGATCTGTTGGGCTTGCAGCATCTCGGATATCACTTGGAGGCTGATTCCCCCATCATTCACTCCTTATGTTTCTTGGCCACCAGGTCGGGCCTCCCTGCGTACACTCCCTCCGGGGTCTGTGCCTAAATCCGCGTTTAGAGAAATATGAGAACTAACATCAACCGGTTCCATGTTTGGCACTTCCCTAGGGTTTACCGGTGGTACACCGACCCCTACATTGTTATTTTCACCAAGACCTTCGTTGTCATGAACAGGTGCATTTTGTGAGCTAGACATGTTTCAGCCTAAGAAACAAAAATTATTGACAAGAAAAAGTGTAAAAATAATGTGTGTAATAAGAATCAGTAAAGAAATAATCACTATTATCTTTAGCCCCACCGTGGGCGCCAAACTGTTTACCTCGAAAATACGAGTAACAATTAAATTTAATTTGTGGTTTTAAAGATATGTGATTTAGTTCAATACCAATTAATAATCAAGAAATATGAAGTAGAAATGAAAGAGAAAAGTGAATCAAACCAATGTTACTTGACAGTAATGACCTCGAGATGGTGACCTCGAGACAGGCTAAGAGCAATAAAGTAAGAAAAGTAAAGCAAGAGCAACAGAGCTAAAGGACAATGCTGATGAACAATAGGCAAAAAGTAGAGAGTATATTCTTTTCTGAGTGATTATATGTCCTATAAATGATTGGCGTCCCCCTTTATATAATAAGGGAATCCTAAATATGAAATATTTTTATCTACAGTAGGGAATATTCTTGATACAGCTGTCTAACCGCCTAGTACGGAATCGTACAATCATATTCCGGGATTTGCGCCATGATCTTGGGGACGTAGCAGGAAACTAGCTCATTTTGTTACAAACCCATAACGGTACTATTTCGGGGTCGAGCACACTTGGCTTCGATATTCCTCGAACTCCTATCCAGGCATTGCACTCTGTCTTCGAGCTCGAGCCTGGTCCACCAATTTCGAACTCTACCTCGCCCGGACTCGGGCCTAGGACGGAACCTCGAGCCTATAAATCGGAGGCATACTTCGACCGTATACAAATATTTCTTCTTATTCCAGAAGAAATTTATTCATATCCGGTTTATTCATTCATTTTTTAAAAAATAAAAATAAATGGGATCTTAAAGAATTTGAATCGCATAGATTTTAAAGAAAAAGAGACGTCGAATAAGAGTTTCAAAGAAATTAAAGTCCCACAAGCAACCTATAAGAAACCACGAGAAATAAATAGATAATAACTATATTTCTTCTGGATAAAAACGTAAGATCACCCAATACAAGTGTCATTTATCAATTTGTAGTCAAATAATTCTACAACTTTCTCAATCTTACAAATACTACTACTTGTTTTGGTAGGAGGAATAGAATTCCTTATCTAAACAAAAGTCTCAAATCGAGCCTTGAAAATAATTTTTTTATAAGTAGCGTTTTTACTTTTATGAAGTTTACGCGACGCAAATTCAGATTAATCCAAGTCTTAAACTTCAGATTAATCCATGTCTTAAAACAGGTATCAGACAACGGAGGAAAAGAAATGAAGCAGATGATTAGATACTATATGGAAGAAGTAATGAAAGCACCAAAAAGAAAACTCAACTTCTTTATTGTCAACACGATGAGTTCATATTTTTCTATTTTCATTTTTTTCTTTTAATTTAATATTTCTGAGGTCCAAAGGGATATACACTTTATCTGATTTCTCCCAGATGATACCCAAGAAAGCAAGTAATAATAGCACAAAACACCACCAACAACAACAATAATAATATTAATAATACGCATCTTACATTAAATTTCAAATGACAATCAAAACAAACAACGCACTTTGAAATAATAGCAGAATACAAAAGGAACACACAATAAGGGCAGAAACCAAAACATATGAAAATTTTGCAACCTGAAGTCGCAGAAAAGTAACTACAGCTAAGCATCAGATGCAAATTCCTTCAGCAATTTTAGTACATTTTTGCAAGCCACCTTCTCGGCCATTTTTTTGTCCCGTTCCGAGCACGTGAACTTGTGACTAACACCATCTGCTTCAACCTCTACTGTAATATACGCCACGCCGTTCTCACGAGAGACAACATTCTTCTTCTTTATATAACCTTTCTGGTCACATAGTTCACTCAACTCTCGGACTGGATGGAGCTTTACTGTATCCGGGGTAATCAACGGTTCCAGTAGAGTTCGTACGCTCTGAAACACAACATCTTTGTTGAAGCCAGAATCAACAAAGATGGCCCCGGCAAGAGACTCAATGACATCTCCAAGCACCTATATCGAACCAGAAAGGAAACGAGTTAATAAACCTAAAACAAAATATTGGATATTCCATCTATCCCAATTTCACACTTTCATCGCGGAAAGAGCTTCCGCTAACTTTTTCCTTCTGTTTCTATAATTTATGGTTTTCAGATGAAGTGTTATTTCTAAGTATGAGTCAAGTATGCAATACCTTTGGAAAAGTAGTTTCGGACTCCCATCCGAACGTAGACGCGGGATCTAGTTTCTCAAAATTCAGAACAGTATTAACTATCTGTCTCTGCAGATCTTGTGAAGCATGAAGAATGTGTTTGTGTAGGCCAGCCTTAACAGCAGCTTGAGCATAGCATTCGTTATTTACGGAGGCAGACCTCAAATCAGTAATGAATCCCGGAGACAGTCCCGGATATTTGAAATAGAGATGTGCTGTAACAGCATAATCTAGCACTGCATCTCCAAGAAATTCCAAGCGCTAGATAGCCACGTAAATCATCAGCAGTTGAATCAAGAAAGTTACCTAGATTTAGGATATATCAAACTTGATATATTTCATTGTTCATATAACATTAAGTTCACAAGATTGCTAATGGAAGACTACAAGTCAATTGGAAACAACGTCCGATTACTGCTTTTGTTTTTTAGATACTCATTCTGAGTCCACACAGAATTGGTTCAGATCCGCAATTGTAAGAACTTCAACCTTACAACAGAACAGGAAAAGGAAATCTGAACTTCGAATAAGATACAACGGCAAGACAGGATTCAAATAAAATCATGAAAAAATCACTTGAATGAATTAAACGGTGCAGTTTGTTCCTTGTCACTAGCAGTTTTACCGAGCCACTTAGGTCAATGAATACAAGAAATAGATCCAACTAATTGACGATTTAATGATAGAGCAACCACAAGAAGCAAAAATGCAATCAACATCAAGATGGATAAATATTTATTTACGAGAATAACCTGATAGCATCGTGGAATCTCAGGTAGCATGTAAGATCCGTGAGTTAGAGCTTCAACAAGCAGAGAAGGATCATGGAACTTGTAATCTAGCAGTGATTCCAAGTATCGAACATTAACTAGCTTCTCAGCATTCATGGGGAAGTGCCTCGGCGTAGGTGCATCTACAAAATCAATGTCGACCCCAAGCCATTTCATAAATGACAAAGCCGCTACTTCACCGCCTGAGCTGAGAAAGGCACCTATCAGTGCCTCAACAACATCAGCTACTCTCTTACTTTTAATCTTCTGCCTTCCCCTACTATACATTTTTACAGAAGGCATCAGCAATTCTTCATCGAAATTCTGAACTTGAGAATTATCACCAGGAATGAGCCATCCTTTAAGATCGAATGGTTCACTACGAATAAATCCCTGTAAAGAAAGGTATTTATTGAGATAGCACACATCAGGCAATCCAGAAGTTTTAAACAAATAAAATGTCAAGACTCAACTATAGGAAACTTTAAGAATACACAGGCATATTTACTTATTCAAGGATCCAAAAACAGTCTGTCAAAATTGACATGTCCTATGACAAACGTACTCCAATTGATGCACTGACAAAAAGTAGACAATTTTTACAAACATAGATAACAGCAATGGCAAATAACTACTAATTTTCATTATAACAAACACTAGACTTAGTTGTGTGGGCAAGGGACAGTAGAAAAGAATGTTCATACGTGATAGTTTGTAACTTTTAGGTTGCAGGAATAATTAAAATTCAACAAAGGATCTTCGATTAAAGTGCACGTGCAAATAAGTCAGAAGAAATTAATATAGACATGGAGTTGATACTATCCAAACTCCTAATGAAAACCCAACTAAACTATCACCAAGGAATACCTACCGGTATTTTACGAGCACATCCAAGCTTGCACAATGCAGCATTGGAAATAATTTTGTTTTTCTTTACAGTGAGTAGACCCTCATGATGATTTTCATAAGTCTTGAACAGCTGTATACTCGCAGCATATTTGAGAAAAGAGTCTCCAAGTGTCTCAAGTGATTCCAAATGAAACTTTTCGACGCATTTCTTTGTTGTAATTGCTTCCAGAACCTAAAATAACCAAACAAGGACCACAAATCAGCTAAAACACAAGGAAGTCGAGAAAAAACTAGTCCAATGATGTAAAGTCAAGCCCTAGACTATGTGTAAAGTTAAGAGTTTAAGACTGATTAAATTGGAGCTAAATCTGTGATGAGATCATAGCAGCACATACCTTAGCGGTTGGAATAAAAATGTTTTGCGTGCACTGATACGAGTGCATCCTTTTCAAGTTTGAGGCCATAATCAAGGACTCAACCCGATGCATGACCGAAGGAAGATATGAATAGGTAAAAAGGGTAGAAATAGAGACAGGTGACATGATGATGGAACACAGTTCAGGAGGTAATTCAACAGACGATTCAGTTGAATCTGCAAAGGCGGCCAAGGAGGTCAAATAAAAAACGAATAAGTGATTTTCCATTAAACTGTGAAACTAAGTTCTGAGTTCTAACATTATAATAAAAGGAGAGCCATTTGATCAACCTTTAGCCTTCTGACTTCTGCATCTTTGAAGGTAATTGTGCACTTTGAAAATGTGTTTCCCCCTAAGAAGTTGTTCTCCATCAAAGCATAAGTTGATCCTATGCCTGTAAACCGCACCTTACTTAATATTTTGAAACCAAAAGTTGATATAAGGAAAAGCTGCACCAAGAAAATAGTAGTTAATTGTACAAACCGCTTTTTATAATATTCTATGTAGGTAATGGATTCTCCAGTTCTCTGTTCCAGCAATGAGTTGCAATCCAGATTATCCAAAAAACCGGTAATGCAGTACACATAGCCATTATGAGGCGTACAGACCAATGAGTTCTCCAACATGCAGCTGCATACCACCCCAGTTTTGGTGTTCACACTGCGTTTGCGACCTTGTGTAGAACAACAATCAATATGCTTATCCCCAAGAACTTGAGAAGGAAACAGCACAGAATTCACACATTCCCAATTTATTTGAGGGTTTTGAGTTGAACCCAAAGATGGAAGCAAAAGATAATCAGAAACTGCAGAACCAACAGGCAGTTGAACTGCGGCCAAAGCGTCCTCCAGTTTACTCAGATCGCGGTCAAGAAGAATTCTGAATAGACTGACTTGAAACCTCTGACATCGTAAAACCTGGAGAGAGTATAAAAAGTATTACCTACTTTTTTACAGGTGACAAGTAAAGAGAGGATAGAAGTCATAAAAATTATAGTCACCTCTTCAGAAGTAAGTCTAACAACTCCACTATAATTTACTTGAACTAGCAAGCTTCCCTTATCAACATCCAAGTCAAAGGTCAATCTTTCATCGTCAAACTTGAGCCTTGTCCTAACAGCAAGTATTATCCCACAAAGCTGGTAACTGCTGTAAGAGTCATGTTGCAAATCAACTTCGTAGCAGTAGTACACTGCTTCTGTATCATTGGCACAATGACTAACCAATTCTGGTGGAAAGTACTTCAATTCTTCATCGGTATAGATTTGACATCCTGCGCAATATAATGGGTTAGAAGGCAAGTAACTTTAGTCCAAAAAACAACCTATGACCAAAAGTGAGAATTACCCAATTCTTTGATGATGGCTTCTTCCTCCACGATATCAGGAACAAGATTGTCGGTCAAGGCACCCTCACGATGAAGTTCTTTACAAGCTTCGAGGCAAGCAAGTTGCTTCAATATTTTGGTATTCCCTTTCACACTAATAACTTTTTGCAGTGGGCAATTTTTGGGAAGATATAGAGTGCAGGTTTCTGTTTCCTTCTCAATAGCACACCTAGGACTGGGTTTATAGTACCTACAATCACATTGAACGGCAGTCAGTAGTGCATCATTTAACGCCTGAAGTACTCAAAGATACCAAATCATTAGAACGTGGCAAGGAGTATGCAGTACAAACCCATCCGAAGGTAGCCTTGAGCAATAGAAGTATAACAATGACACGCTAGAACTAAGGGTGACAACTGCTCCAGTTGTTTCAACTTTATAGTAAGGTTCATCGTGCAATTCATCATCAAGAGGTGAACACGGAATAGAAGCATGGCGTAATGATTCTTGCCGCATGATCTCCCCACTTTGCATATAATTTTGCATGCGAGTGAGAGTTGATGCATCCCCGCTAGGAATTAAGCCAGAAATAGAAGGATAATCAGTCCATTGTTATAGTTAAATCTTCCAAATTTTATCAATAATGATTGCACAAAATCAAGAGCTGAAGCAAATTTAATCTTTTCAATATGTGCACAACTGACAAGAGCATAAATAGAATGTTTTAAATGAAAAATACACCAAAAACAATAATGATAGAACCCTTTAAAACATTCATATATCAATTATACTCAAGTGATAGTATTTGTATTTGTGAGGAGGGAATGGATGGAAAAGCATACCTCCCAACCATCAGAATAAAGTGTGAGTTCTGCATTCGAGCTCGACCACGAGACTGTATAAAGCTACAAACAGTTGCTGAGGGATCAAATCGAATGACAAGGTTGCAACTTTGAACATCCAAGCCCTCTTCAAGAATAGAAGTCGCTACAATAATGTTGACCTGCAGCGTTTTGCATGGAAATGAGACTTCCAATCTTCAGAAATTATCTACAAAAGTAGCGAAAAATATAACTGGACTTACCACACCCTTGCGAAATTCTTCAACAATTTTATTTTGAACATTTCTACTCTGTGACTGCAGCAAAGAACTATGTCCAGCTGTGTACTCAGTTTTCCAACCACTTAAATCCGGAAGCAACTCATTTAACAAAGACCGAAGAACGATAGCTGTAATGATTCTCTCAACAAATATGATGCATCTCAAATCCTTCAGGTCTCTATTGGATTGGTAACAAAAAGTCAACAACAAAAAAAAGATTATTAGCCAGTGAATCACTAAATAGAAAATCCCATTTCCCAACAAGAGAGTTGCATTATTTAAGACATATCTCAAAATCAAGGCGCAAATAGAGTGATAGACTCCAGCATCACATTTAATCAAGATAAGATGAGACAAGAAGCAGAGGATTACAGTTTTAACATTAAGATGTGATCATTAAAAGCAATAGCATAAACCATCGGTAAACTACCATGTACAATGTTATTTCAAAAGCTTAGATGAAAGTACACAGTCATGTAAGGGAGTTCCTTAGGCAGCATAATGCTCCCTCCATTACAGTTAGATGGTTTGCGAGTTCAATGACTCATGAACCGAAATTTTTTAGCACTCATCTTGTGCTTCCAAAATATTTAAATCCGTCAACACCAAATTGCATGTCATTTTCTCGTCCACAAATACTAAGAAATCTATCCGACAACGTTTTTTCCATTTATTCTATAGAACATTCAATAGATTGAATTGGCATTGATGCTTTTAACAAATAGAGTTAATAGTCAGACCTCTCACCTGTACTCAAGAAGAGACTCTATAAGACTATTAACTTTGGATGTCAAATATCCAGCATCAACATTTGCATGAATATCACCACCAAGTGACCAATGTGAACCTATGTAGAGAGAGAGAGAGAGAGCACGAAAAAACAAGAAAGAAGTCAAAAAAACATATTTACAGCTCAGGAAAAGAAAATGGATGTTGCTAATTATGATACCAGATGGTATGTGAGCCGAGAAGACCTTAGATGCACCCAAACTGAAATTTCTAACAATCCTTTGAGCACAAACATCTAATTCTCCCCATGAAAAGAAGTCGGTTTCTTCAGAGGACAAGAACTCGGCTGCCTGATTCAAAACGAATTCATGTTAGGAAAATGATCAAGGCCAAACTGATTAATTTTTTTATGCACAAGCAAGGGACGTATTTACCTTGAAAGCCAGCCAAACACCCAGCTCACTCAAACAAAATATGAAGGACGAATATAGTTTTGACAATCTTTTACTTGCAGAACCAGCACTTAAATCAGATAGGCTTGATTTTGAAATCGAATCTTCATACTGCAATGATAAGAAAACACAACCAGAATTGAAAGAGCAAAAATGCAGACCCCATATGTTGAACAAGCCAGCATGATTGTTCTAATCTCATTACAAGAATAGATTAAGGTTTAGTTCTAAGTTCCTTTATTTTCTCAGTGCACTACTCGTTTTCCGCTCGCACACAACTACTATATAGAGAAAGGAAGAGCCAACATAAACTGAATGATAAATGATACTGCATATAAGTTCCAAGGGGGAAAGATATATGAATATAAAGGGGAGTAAATCCAGAGAGAAAGACAAAAGGTATGTATGAACATTCTATAAATAGAAAGGCATAATCCGTTGGCTAAAGAATTGATGCTTACCTTGTCTTTCAACCTTATCAGGTCAGAAACTAAACTAACAAACAATGTGCACGGAATATCCACATGTCGATATATCTTCAGCTTCGGAGTTGAGAATGGGATATACTTGGCCAAAACAGATTCACTGACACACGTGTATACCTTCATTTGCAAAGGCAGATCACAATCAGAAGAACTAAATATATATCTACTTGTGTCTGTCTACTTGCATACATTAAAAAGACATGCTACCCAAAAAACAACTGACGACAAGCATCAGAAGCAAAAAGTTTAATGCTTGCACAGTCCAGTAATAAACACGAATTACAGAAAGATACATTTGCAAAAATCAAGTTGATGCCATCACCAAAAAAATTCTTTAAAAGAGGAAACAACATGCTTCTATCCTTTGAACTACATTTAAGACCATATTGCACGTGGATAAAAGGAGAAGAGTTAGAGAGAACCTTGGAATGCATAAGGTTCTCGAGGTCACGAATCATTTTCCAAGTAAATTCCACGCTAGAACCTGCAATAAAAGTATGAATATGACAATCCACAGAAAGACAGTTTGCTAAGAGTGTGATGTAAAAGCATCTCAAAGGGTTAATTGACGATGATAAAATTAATTGTCAGTAACCTTTAGTCTTTATTGGGGAAGCAGTCATTCCGAATATTCTTGGAAGTTGTGCGCTTTCAAGGGTTAATTGACGATGATAAAATTCCTGAAATTAAAATCAATCCTTAAAGACGAAACTTGTTCAAGCACCATAACAAGTCATGTTCAAGCAGGATTATAGTGGTCTTTCTAAGGTGCGGTAAGATTGTTGGACTAGTTAGACTTAAATCACATATGTACAAAAGCAATGACGTGAGCATTAGAGTGCCACATCAGGTAAATGTACACACTGTACATTGTGCCTATAAAAGAATTCAGCCATAAGACATGTATTCCCGTATTCTCTCAAATCTCTTTTTTATCTAATTCCTGTATTCTCACAAATCTCTTTTTTTATCTATCTTTTTACAGGTGGTATGTGACATGCAACACATACACTCAAGAGACAGGAAGTACTGAAATAAAATACTGTTGAGGAAGTGGCGTTAAGTAAACAATAGTAGTCAATATCCATTGACACAGAAATCAAATGTTGTTGATATAATTTTGCTCCATTCTTTCTTCTTTATGATGTAAGTAGGGCACTCTCCCTAAGATGAGCATAAAAATTTAGGTCCAGCGTGATACCGTTAGAAGATGAGTACAAAAAACATACCTTCATTATGCAGGCATAAGGGTGTTTGCCTCTTGCATTGTGACATTCATCAAATATTAGAACTTTGATCATTTCAATTTTTAAGAAGCTATGCCTCAAAGCAGCAAGTAGTATTGCGGGTGTCATTACCAGCACCTGAAAGACAGAAACGATGGTTACTTATCAAGTATCCAGGTATATATTTTTTGACAAGGACATCCATGTTATATATATATACAATGCCTAACTTAAGTCCTAGCATGTATATTCTGAAACTCAAGTCTAAAAGATTTGCCGAGACCCATGCCAAAACAAAAAGGATTGTAAGGCAAAAAAACAGCTGCTTTGTTTGCGAATTCCCTCGGAGAGAAGCTATTAGCTTATACTCCATAGCCATTTGTTTTGCCGTTTTGGGCAGGAAAAATTTTAAGCATTCCATTACTGAAGTTACTTAAATACGACATATAGTACTTTTTTGTTGGGACAAAAATGGAAGTGCATGTCTACTCAAGCAAGTGTTGATAATATATCACTAAAGATAAAATATAGTTCACGCATACCTCATGATCGACCACCTGTTTTTGCCATGTAGCAGCATCCCAATAATCGACACCCATTTCTCCCCAATACTTGCCCACTTTCAAGTCGGTATGCATAATGAGAGCATCTCCTTGCTTTGTAATTATCAATCGCAAGATCAACAAAATTAGGCCAAGTCAAATAGACAGTAATACACCTAAAACCAAGGCCCTTAGAAAAAACACAAACTAAAGGGGTACTCCTCAAACAATATCACAAGTCACAAAATGTGGTAAAACTAATGCTCAATAAAACAGTTCTACAAACTATAGCCAGAAGTGAAAATATACACATTAAGATCATGAAGTTTAAGGACTAGATTGGGAAGCTAGGAGTAGTACCTGAGCCACCAGAACAACCGTCGGGACCAAGAAAACAGCTATATATGGAGAAGGCTTTCGAAGAAGATAAGCATAGCTTCTCAAAAGCATAATAGCAATAAGGGTCTTTCCAGAACCAGTCTCCAAATAAACAATAGTATTCCGCTTTAATGCCGTCTCCAATGCCTCTAACTGATAACTACATAACAAAATCATACATAAAAAACACACATATTACAAAGGTTCCTTCCTTTTCTATTTATTTTTCTAACTCCATGATACATTAAAAAAAGAAATAAATGTAAAATGCTAACCTTCTTGCAAAAGGCAGAGAGTCAGGGCAGAGCTGTTGGTTTTCAGAGACTGTAACTTCAGCTGGCTCCATTGATAGTTATCTACATTAACATCAGACCAAATAAACATAAGGACACCAACCTAGTAACAAAGATGAAACAGAAAACTTGAAACAGAAAAATCTACAAGAAAATGACAACCAGTTGATCATACATAATAGCAGCCTATTTATCTTACATACCCTTTTTACCATTTTAAGGAAACACTAAGAAAAACCAAGGATTTCACAAGGCACAAATAATTAAAGATTTAACACCATGTAAACACCCACTTCATAAAAAATCCAAGAAAACTCTATGAGTAACAATGATGAAACAGTAAACTCCTAAAGGAAATGACAATCAGGTGATCATACATTTAAAAAAACCACAAAACTCCTGCATACCCTTTTTACCATTTTTTAAAAAACACAAGGAAAAACCAAAAATCAAGGAAAGAATACCACCCCCACCCCCACCCCCACCCAAAAAAAAGACATCACAAGTAAATCACATAAGCATAAAAGAGTAATCTGTATGAAAAACACCCACTTAAATAAAATGCATAAAAGAGTGATTTTGAGAAGAAAAAAACACATAAATAGTTAAGAAAACTCACTGGCTAGAGTTGAATTGCAGGATTGTGAATAGAATATTTCAAACAGTTTTGAGTGTTAGTGAAGAAGAAAAAGTAAGAGAGATACAAGGGGACTATATGTAGAGGTTTTTAGCTTCTATGGCAAGGAAAAAATACACTCCCCCACCCCACCACCCCCGACCCCTTAATCAGAGTAACTCTGCACCACCACCACCACCCCCCACCCCCAGGGAAAAAGCAATGATAGTACAATTTATGATCAATACAACACAACCCCAGATGAAAAGACAGAATCTTTTTGACCTATTAAATACTATAGGAAATCCAATTTGAAGGAATAAATCAGAACTCCTTTAATACTGTTCTGTTTGAATTCCTCTAAAGAGAGAAAAGCGCTCAGTATATACATATGTTTTTTATTTCGTTATTTACCCTTAAGAATCAGTTTAATGACAATAGAATTTCTTGATCTACGGAAGGAAATTTGTTAATGATAAGGGTATTTTAGTCATTTTGTATTAAGAAAATGGACCACCTGAATATGGAATTGTGTTTCTCGTCACTGTTACGAGGAAATAGGAAAAACGCTGACGATTACTACTTCTTGAGTCGGTGTGCCGTGCACGTGACCGAGAAATAAGAGGAAAAATAAAGCTAAATATTTTAAAAGTTCAAATAAAATTGGCTTCTAACAAAATATTATTATATTTATTTGTTTGGCTTTCAATTTAGTCCTTATTAACTAATGATATATTGTCAAGATGATTTCAAATTTATATCGGAGTTAAGTATGTTATTTATCATTTTAAAGAGGAATAAATAGAAGTGCATCTTATCAAGGATTATAAATAACACATTACTAATAATTAATGCTAATCTCACAAATAAAAAATTGTTACTATCGGACTATGGTTATTTATACTTCCATGCCATTGAAAAATCAATTAGTTACTTTGTAACAAAAATTAAATTTGAATTTCTTAAAATTAAATAAAATTATCACTAGATTCAAGGAAATAATTTACAATAAAGTCAAGATCAGTTGCAACTTACAAAGAATGTGAATTCTTTGTCAGAGTATGGAGAGTGTGACGATTGAAGTGCTTTTTTTCTTTTTCTTTTTGCATTTTCATGTAAAAAAATTAAGTGGTACTTCCTTTGTATTAATTTATGTGGAATAGTTTGGATTTCGAGAATTAAACTTTTAAATTTTGATCGCGAATATGAATATAAATTTGGAATCACCAGCGCGAGAAGAGCCTGATTTGGTCACAAGGTCTCGCATCGGATTCTTTACCATTTAAAAAAAGATATGCAAAAACTAAAATCCAAGAAAAAAATACGAATCAAACTAGAAAAGAAATAAACTTTAACAAATAACTCACATAGAATCAAGATTTAACCCAATATAAATACCCACATCAACAAAAAAAAAAATACATAAAAGAGTAACTTTTATGAAGAAGAAAGACAAAAATAATTAGGAAAACTTACTAGCAAGAGTTGAACTGCAGAATTGTGTACACAGCAATTGTAGTACAATTTATAATCAATAAAATACAACTCCACTACTTTTTTAGGAATAAAAGAGAGAGGGAAATGAAAAGACAAAATCTTTTGGCCTATTATATAGGAATTCAATTGAAGGCAAAAACCAGAACTCCTTTTAATACTGTTCTGTTTTAATTTCATAAGAAGGAAAAAAATGCAGTAAATACATTTGCTTTCCTTCCTTTATTAGCCTTGAGAATATGTTTAATGACATGTGAATCTCTGTTACAACGACGGAAATTATGATAAAGACAAGGGTATTTTTGTCAATGACATAAGAACATGGACCGTTGCTAAAGGGAATAGGAAAAGACTGACGCCTACTACTGCTTGCTTCAGTGTGCAGTGCACGTGACCATGAAATAAAAGAAGAAAAATTAAATTAAACATAATAAAAGGTTCAAAAAGAAATATAGGAAAATTATATTTATTTGTTTGGTTCTTGGTATGCATGAACGACTTCCAAATAAAATATAATGTCCAGTTGTTTTAAATTCATATATGAGTTAAGTAAGTTATTATCATTTTAAATAAGACTAAAGTAAGGGTATCCTGTTGAGGATTATAAATATCGAATATCGTATTACTTGTAACTAATTACTAATTTAAAGAATACCATTTAAAGTGATACATCATACCAGATCATGTATTATTTCTAATGTAATTGGCAGAGCACCTGGTTTACCCACTCGCTAATAGTTTTTCCATAAAGTGGCATTGAGAAATTAACTATTTACTTTTCGATAATAATAAACTTGTTTTTCTTGAAATAAATAAAAATTGTCACAAGATTCACTAGTTTGCAACCCAAAAAAAAACTTTACTAAAGATGATATCAAATGCAAGGAATGTGAACCCTATAATTTGTCTTAGCATAGGTAGTGTGACAATTGATTGTTTTTTTTTCTTCTATGTGACATAATGGATTAATTTTTCTATTATTAATTAGAGTTTTGGATTCGAAGTTTATAATGAAGGAAATAAACCTTATGTGGCGCTACTTCGGATTAGCTGAGCCAATAATCTCTGATAATAGATGATTAAACAAAAATAATCAATTTTTTTAAATTTCGTGCACATACTTTAAGTGGTACTAGTATTACTAGTTACTAATGACCATTAATTGTTTCATCGCGATATAATTTAATACTCAAAAAATGTAGGAGTTATAAATACACGAGCCAAACATAAATGAGTATGTTGTGTATAATTTTGATGACTTAAGTGTGTTTATTATCAATCAAAAATACATGAAATAACATTTCATTTTATGTGCTCTACCCATCCAAATTAGAAAGAGTAGTATATTTTGAATATGATTTTTTTTTAAAGTTCACTTATTTAGTACAAGTTGTGACGTACAGACAGATTCTAGGGTCCTTTAATAAAAAGACCTATTCTAAAACTTCGTAAATGAGCTCAAGTTATTTTTTATTGGGTGTATGACCCTTTAATTAGAGTAAAAATGAAAAAAAAAATAAAAAAAAATGTTGTTCTTTTGGGTCTTTTTCCATTCCTATTTCGAATATTTTCAATTAAATCGATCAGATTTTGATTAATTAAATTCATTCTTTTTCATCCAATCTCCTTCTTAGTTGTTTATCAACTCGTGATCGCTAATCAACCTCCTTCTTGGTAGATGGAGGTTATTTTCAACCTACTTCTTTGTTATTTATCAACCCATGATCGATAATCAACTTCCTTATCGATCGATGGGAGTAATTTTCTTGATTTCAAACTTCGGAGAAGAAAATAAAGGTTATTTTCTTAATTTATACGGGGGGTTTTCGGCTAACTCTTCTCCAAATTCCAAAAGAAAAAGAAATACACACAGAGGCAAAAACCCAATTAAGAATAGCATTCTCAAAGAGATCAAAGATTATTAATATCGGATTTTGAATGAAATATTTATAGTTGGCGATACATAAACGGCCCCTTCAAGTTGTCCTCAACGATCGTTTGAACACCTCAATTGAGACCATTTCCAGGTAGACACTTCAAGTGACTGTTAAGTATATCTAGTAGACACCTCACAGTGACATGGCAAGTTACGTGTATTTTAATTGCTTTTGGGCGCATGAGGTTTTATCAGACTTTTTCTTTTTTGTTTTAGAATTAAATTAAATTAAATTTTGAAAACTAATGCTTAGATCGACAACAAAACTAATGCTTAAAAGTCAACTACTAGTATAATTGATGGAATCATGCCATCTTTGAAGAGAAATCTACGGCTGCTCGCCATCGTCGCCTGAAACAAGAATCTGAATTACCTATTTCCTAAGTTGGGGATCTTAATGGTGTTAACACTTGGTGGGTGTTTACTGTTTCTCCTTGAAACTATTTTCTGTTAAACTCCGGCGAAGTTCTCTACGAGTCTTTTCTGATTTTCTCGGTTTTTTTGGGCATGATTTCGTATTCTAAAGTTGATTTTAAGAGAGGAACATGAGTTAGAAGATCGGGCGATTACCGGTTGTATATTTTCCGGTGGAACCCCGATGAGATTTTTTCACCATTATTGAGTCTGATAAGTTGTAACTGTTGGACTTTAAAGGAATTGAGCTTCAAAGACTTTAAGCATTGGGCTTTAAAATATAAGAGTGTGAATTGGAAATGGTGGGAAATAAAATGGAGGGAAATAAAAATTTGAATGAAGTGAGCTTTTGACTTGCACTTTGTCCCTCATTGGTGAGGGACAACTACATTTGTGTGCTTATATATAGAATCACTTCTTAAAGCACATAAAAGGAGTTGAAGAGAATGAACCCTCGCGCCGTCGTCGTCGCTCGGCTCGGCTTTGGATTTGGATTTGGATTTGGATTTGGCAAATGATCGATCAGTAAGATTATTTTTGGACAAAATTTATTTAATTAATTATTTAATAATTAATTAAATACCAGATCACTGCTGAAGATTCAGAAGGATAGTCTGGCCGCGGTCCTGGCGTAACCGCGGTAGGACCGCGCCAGAACCCTGCTGCAGATTTAGAGGGCCACTCTGGCCGCGGTCCTGGCGTAACCGCGGTAGGACCGCGGCAGGCCGCGTAAACTTCTGAAAAGGCACCTTTTCCAGAACAAACATCACACCTCTTCCAATAATTGCCTATAAATTCTGAGGCATGGCTTCGTTTTTAACACACCAAAAACATTACAAAACTTCCTTCTTTCTGAAAATATTGCATTCTAATTCGCAGTCTCTCTCTCTCTCAAATTCGTAAGTGTGATTTTGCTCCGTTCTTTAAGTTCGTTGGTATCCTGCAGTTTGTATTGCCACTGTTGCAGGAAGGTTTATTCCGTTTTATCCTGGGAGGATTTAATCCATTACCTTGGCAACGTGTGAGGGGGTTAAAATTCCTTAAGGACGCACAAGCAAATTGTGGACTCGGAATATTTCTTAATCTTTACTGTTTTTCCAGTTTCTTTTATTCTTCTAACAGTTTTCTGATTTTGTGTTTTAACACAGTAGCAACAACAATACAAACTTATACATATGACATACGGGCCTATAAGGCCAAACTGATCACCCGTACAATCTTTCATATACATGACATATGTCTACAAGCCATACAATCTTTCATATACATGACATATGTCTACAAGCCTGTAAGAG